AAGTATGTCTATGTAATATTAGAATTTTCTGAGAATGAATTTTGGTTTTACATTTTTTTCCCCAGTAAGAGGTTTTTATTTAACAGAATTTTTGGACAAAAAAAAATCGCAATATATCGCGATATATCGTATCGTGACCCCTCTGTCATGATATGTATCGTATCGCCAAATTCTTGCCAATACACAGCCCTAATGTTCAATATACAAAACATTTAGTAGTTACTTAGTCATCCAGAACATGTTCCAGGATTTGCTTAAGCAGGGAAAGATGATAGACCTTTTAAAGAAACTGCCCTAATTTATTGCTATTCACTTCATTATAGGTGAATCCAGAGCTGAAACACCATTTGGAGAATAAAGGACTTCATTTTGTTGGTGAGGATGTAGATGGAGAGAGAATGGAGGTCATTGAAATACAAGGTGAGCAGATGAGAAAGAACAAGTAGCCTTATTCARGAGGCCTTATTTAAAATCAGATACATTTTTAACATTTTTACCCACGAGTCTGTGAATTGAGTTGAGTGGGGTCTTTGTGTTGAATAGTTCTTTACCAAATTAATTAGTTTTTTTATTTTCAGATCATTGTTACTTTGTTGGAGTCCAGTACCATCCAGAGTTCACCTCTAGACCCATTAAACCGTCTCCTCCATATTTGGGTCTTCTGTTGGCTGCTGCAGAAAAACTTCAGTTCTACATTAACAAAGGCTGTACCCTCTCTCCAAGGTAAACTACTGMTTGACCCTTGAACTGCTAAATACTCATAGTCTTGGAGTAAGTTTAATTCTGTTTCAAACAAAACATTTTTCACTTTTTTTAGTTTTTACAATAATCAAAGTAGTCAAATATTGTTTTTTTTTCTTATGGGGTTTACTTTTATTTGCAAACATCCTATGAAAAATTGCCCAGGTTTGAGATTAACAGGTGACATAGTGCTTCACATAAAATGGTTAAGAATTTAATATTAATTTTCTAAAATATAAATCTGAGTGACCTTTAAAAAAGGAAACCATACTTCACATGGTGACCTTTAAAAATGAAACCTTATTTCATATCTGAAGCAGTAGCTTCATTACTTAATTGAGCAATTATTATGAATGATGATTAGAATCCACTGGCTAAGGAGCGTTCCAGTTAAAATTTACAGGGGCGTTATGTCATTATTGGAGATACAATAAAAAATATATCGCAAATTAAACATTATGACTGTAGTCCTCTTTATGCATTTGTCTCTCATTTCAGGGACACATACAGTGACTGCAGTTGTAGCAGCTCTCCTGATGTGGACATGGATGAGCTGAACTTTCCCTCTCTATAGTTTTGCCCTTTTTTTTTGTTACTCGTGGAAAAATCCAAGACCCCAGGAAAAAAAAAATATCAGGAAAGCCCCTAACTGATGCTGCAAGACACAATTTTATTTTTTTAAGGATTGTTTAAATTTATTTTGAATAACTTATTTTTAAGTATTAAAAGGTTTTATTGACAGTGTAAATGAATGTTATTAAGTGTTTCAGTGTTTTTAGTTCCTGCAATAAAAATAAAATGGAAGAGAGTTCTCATGAGCAAACTTGGCCGATGTGAAAACAGCTGTTTTACATTAAAATATACAAAAGGTTTATTTATAAATGATGGTCAGGAATGATACACAGTGAGGTGTGAGTCAGTATTTGCATTCAGGTTTGATCTTGTGGCACCCAGCTTTCAAATCACTCAAATCTAACATCAGGTTGGACATTTGTTTCAAGAATTTGTAAATAATTGTGTGTTAAAATCTTATCTTAACATAATACTATTTTTCTGCATTTTCTGTTTATTATGAAATTTTAATTAATTTAATTTTAATTTTACTCTGACCTGGATCTGTTTGAGAATAAACTGCATAGTTTTTGTATTTTTGAAGATTTGCATGTTGATTAGACATTTAACTGGATGATTTGGACGCCATTCAGTCATTAACAGTGTTATTTAAGTTATTGTGTGTGTTGTTTTTTTTTTTTTTTTTTTGTGTAACTGCGTGATTTAGAATTCTTTTTGTTATTCCCTACAACTGAGCTCATCAGCTCAAAATGCCTTTCTAGTGTTTGAAACCTTTTGCTTCCTGCAGTTAAAAAAAAGGTTTTGAAACAAGTTGCAAAACCTTGCAACATGCCTCAGAACTGAGTTATGTTAATGCAGTTAATCTGTTGTAGTTCAGCCAACTACAGCAGAGTCTGCATACAGTATGAAATAGACTAAGTTCTGTTTTTAAAGGTACATTGTTTAAAGGCTGTATTAATCTTTGCATTTCTGTGTAAAAGAACTGACAACAATTACAAGTAATGTTTTTATTTCCTTGATCAGCCTGAAGTTGCACAAAGACATGGGCAGTAATGGTTTACATGCTGATAATACAAATGCACAAAGTGACTTTATTTATGGTTTAAATAAAAGTTGAAACGCATGTTTTAGGCAGTATGTGATTTTATTTTTTAGTACTACTCTGATGTAGTTATGCTGATTGAAGCTTATAAACATGACAAGTTCCTGCTAGAGGCTGTATGTGTTTTGACATCAATAAAGTCAAAGTGCACTTCAGAATAAACAGACCTTTCATGACTTTATGCTTTAGTTAGAGTTCTTCCAAAAGAAGTTTTAAAGGATTGGGAAATATTTGTTTAATGTCAAATGTTTTTTTTTATTTTTTTATTTGAAGAGTTAAAGTTGTATGYATGGTAAATAAAAAATGGTATACATGTAAGCATCTGACTTGGTGAGTTTGGTGCAAAAACAAAGATATCCTGGGCTTTTCTCAGGGAATATTAAAACCCAGTTTTAACCAACTTCCTTTTTAGATGGCAATGGTTAATCCAAAGTCATGATCATAAAGTGATTACAAACTGCTTCAAACTGGGAGAAGAGTTATCAAACTTATTTTTAACTTCTATTTTTTGTCATTGATGAGTATATGTGTGAACAACAGGAAACTACAGTGTTCATTTGATAGTGTCACACACAACTCATAAAACCTCCTCCTACATCTCCCCTCCTTTTCCACAACAGTCCTTGTATTCTTTAGCTTTCGCCCCTCCCTTTGTCAAGTATTAACAGGAAAACTTTAGAAGTCCACACCCCTGCAGAGTTTTGTGCACATGCTGGTAGCATTTAGGATCTGCAGCTCAGATGAGAGCTGTGATAGTGGGATTAACTCAGTGGGACACTTTTTATTTTTTCCCCCCACACACACACACACCTGCTTTTGTAGAGAATTTGATGAGCCACCTTGAGAATGGTATTCACTTTTTTATGGCTGTAAAATGCACAGCTGACTGGGATGGCTCAGACTGAGCTCCTGTTTGTGAAATAAACAAGGAGTGGCTCTTTGGTTGTTTCTCAACTTTTGGAGTGGAAGAGGTAAGGATTCAGCCTGTCTGTACATGTGGGTGTTTTTATCTTTTGTATGTTCTATCTTTATCTGTCTTTTTAATTTCACCAAAAAAAGAAAAATGCCTCAGCTCTTCATAATTTCATAACCAATTTTTCTTTTTACGTGTTATATCCCCACAAGGTGCCTTCATTGTCTCTTTTTCTCCACCCCAGCTACAATGGACCTGACCTTGTGGCAGTATCAGTTCAGGATCATCATGCTGGGGGACTCGACTGTAGGCAAATCCTCCCTGCTGAAGCGCTACACTGAGGACCTGTTCTTGGGGTCCATCAATGAGACAGTGGGTGTAGATTTCTATGTTCACTTCCTGGAGGTGGAGCCGGGGGTCCGTGTCAAGCTGCAGTTCTGGGACACAGCTGGGCAGGAGAGATTCAGGTGAGCACCATCTGACATCAGCTGTCACGTACCGAATAACCTCRCTGCATGAGCAGACTTTAAATTTTTTGGATTACCAGCACAGTTGGAATGCTTTAAACCACTGGTTCCCAAACTTTTTATCTTCTGACCCACAAAATATCAATGGCAAAAACTTGTGACCCCAAAATTACTGGTCTGAGTACACAAACTTTGTTAATAACCATAAAAACACAGGCTTTTTGACAATCTAAACAGCTAGTRCACAAATATAAATAATTATTTATACTTATTTTGTGTTTTTGTAATAGTTATAGGGAAAATATTACATCAGCAATTAYTTTATTACCCTTTAAATTGATTTCTGGAGATTATCCAAGGTGCTTCATAACCCATAATTGGGTCCCAAGCCCAACTTTGGAAACCAAAGTTCAGTGGTTCCCAAACTTTTCAGCTTTTGACCCACAAAATAACAGCAGAGACCTGTGACCCCAACTATTTTTGGAGGATAAACATTTTTATCAGATCAACTAAACATGGGCATAGTAACAATATGTTTATACTACATTTATCCATTTTAAATACACTAACCTCACTCMTTTGTAACAACTAAGGCAAAAATGTAATTAATTCAGAAAATCTTTTCAGGACCCCACCTTGATTTTTCGGGACCCCACTTTGGGTCCCGACCCCAACTTTGGGAAACACTGCTTTAATATACTATACATCTGCAGACCATTAGGGAAATTATGCAAAAACTGCATTTTTTTGTGCTTTGTATCATGTTATAATGTCATTTCCTCTTCAAAACCAACACCCAGAATGTTTCTTTGACTCATTCATGCCTATTATGTAAGCAAATCCTTAAATCTCCTGTGCTGCTGAAGGAAATTTTGTAACTGATTAATTGAATGTTAGATGTAGTATTGTATTTTATACTTCCTGATCATTTCAGCCTTAAACTTTCAACAGAAAACGAGTTGGTGTGTATCTTATCATGTGTTCTTTCTTTAGCCTAAACAAAAATGAGTTAGGTTCTACATCTGACGTAAAAGTTACCACCAGGTGTAACCAGGAAGAGATGTACATTATAAGGTCAATTCATTATTATGGTAGAGAGAAGTTGTTAGTGTTTTGCAGAGTGTCTGCTCAGAGCAGGGCTCCTGTGTTTTGTTTTGGTACAGCCCAAGGTCTAACACTGAGGCCTGCTGGGTGCTGTTCTGTGAACCTGATTGGAGTCAGAAGATTAAGAATAAAGTTTTGACAAGAAAATCCAGTTGGATTCCTGTTTATTCAGACATACTATTTTGAACAACACATTTTTTCCTACACTGGGACAAAGCACCTCCTATTTACTCAAAGCTCCTCCCTGGAGCTCAGTCTCCAGCTGAGCTCCTGACCAGACCTGTTGGGACTGCACATCCGTTGAGCTAATAATATGGCTTAAATTAAGTCCAGTTCTTTTTAGATTAAAAACCACCTTTATCAATAAAATATAGTGTCTTTGGATGCCGAAGACTGCTATTACAACACTCAAGACGTGCAGAAGTGGGAGTGTCGAAAATAGTAGGAGGGGCTTAATGAAACAGAGGAAATTTCAAGGTATTTAGAAAGGCTATGATGCAAAGTCAAATTTATTTTTGACATACAGCATTTTCATACCATCTGAAGGTAAACAGATGAGTGTGCCTAGAAAATACGTAAAACCCCCGCTCCAAATCAAATCAAACAAATGTATTTCGAACATGATGACCATACAAAGAGATAACCACACTTAAACATATTACACATATAAAATACAAAATACACATTTTATGACAATAATAATCTCAACATGTTCGAAATGGAGTAGGGAGAAGTAAAAAACTTAAACTCCTACCCTGTACTATTTTCAAATAATATATCATAATAAACCTCAGGCTCCCCTTTAAGACATAGTCCTGCGCCTCTTTTTATTAGACAGATATACATATGAAGTCATTTTCTCATTGTAAACATAAAAACATTTGGTGTGCATGCAAATACAGTTCCCAAATAAAAAAAACTGGTCATTCCAGTCGCCTCCAAGCTGTTCCACTGCTATCAGCTCTGACTGCATATCAAACCCTCAGAAGAGTAGTGTGCACAGAAATGCAGCATGTGCGATTCTTTGAGGAGGCAATGTTTYCCTTGCTCAGCATATTTAGTGCGAAGAAAAAAAAACTAGAAGTAGCATGTTTCTCTCTCCCTCTAAATTTATCATTTCAGTTGTCCAGCTGAATGAACTGTAACAAATTGCAAACCGGGCCTGTTTGTGTTTATCTCCGCTCTGCGGGATATCTGCAGTCCCACGAGTCAGCCACGTTTCACAAAATTAAAGTTGTTTTTAATAAGTACATTTTATTAAGTAAAACGGTGTTAGGTGTACTTATGAGGTCTGTTTTAAACAACAGTGACTTGTTGGGGATCTACGTTTCTGTTTACAGTTTCATGATTAAACATATTGATTAGCGGTTTGTAACAGAGACTCTATTAATCTGCTTATCTGAAAGAATTTTACTCAGGCAGTGCAGCTGCTCAGGGGGGGGAGGAAACAAACTGAACTCTGTACTTTCTGATTTGGGTTTTGGCAAGTTTTTATGTGTTGAAATGTTAACATTCCTTTCTCTTTTCTCACCRTCTCATCTCTTCCCTCAGATCAGTGACACGGTCTTACTATCGAAACTCAGTTGGGGGTCTGCTGGTGTTCGACATCACCAATCGAGCCTCCTTCGACCACATAAAAGAGTGGCACTCGGAGGTGTGCGAGCACGTACAACCACACAGGGTCCTGTTCATCCTGGTGGGTCAGAAGATCGACCGAGACGAAAACAAGGAGAGGGCGGTGAGCCGAGAGGAGGCTGAGAAACTGGCCGGGCAGATGGGCGTGCCCTACGTGGAGGCCTCTGCAAAGACTGGACACAACGTGAGGGAGGCCTTCGAGCTCCTCACTCGACGGGTCTACCAGGGTATTCTGAGCGGAGAGGTGGAGCTGCAGGAAGGCTGGGACGGTGTCAAGTGTGCCGCCCCACAGGCGCTTCGCTTACAGAGATCCAGTTTGTCTCAAACCAGCACAGCCCCCAAGAACGACAGAAAGTGCTGTGGGTAAATGATTCACTTGAGGCGGAGGACTACACCTGCCCACCTGGATGTGGGATTTATAGTAGCAGATTACACACAAATCCAGGAAGTAGATTTATGTGTTATTTGTGACCACCATAAAGTATATTTACATTGAATGTTTTCAACTTTGTCACACATATATGCTCTTAAGAGACATACCATGCTTTTAAGTCCTTTTTCACATTTAAATCATTCAATCTGGGTCTATATAAAGTGGAACTGCAATGCTTCTGTCTAAATTCCTCCTTATTGTAACTCCACAAGCCCCTCTTTCATCACTTTTCAACTCATTTTGAGGCTGTCTTCTTTAAAACCGAACAATGTGCTTTACACCCCGCCTCCCTCTAGCTTCCAGAGCAGTTTATTCTAATTTGATAGAGATTATGACTATATAGCAACACAGAAAAAAATAATTGTTTACAAATTAATTACAAACCGTCAACAGTGAAAGAATTGTTCATCCAGCCTTACGTGTTGGAGCTAGAGTCTGACCCAGAGCCAGAGGAGAATGAAGATGACCAAACTGTAGTTGGTAAAGCCAGACCTTGTTTGGAAGTTGCAAATAATTTGACATAATTCAGAAAACAGAGAGAACTGAACAGGTTGAAAAAAATGACCTAAAAAGAAAAGACATCAATGCAGCACCAGCAGAGACTACATTCATCTGTCTGCCCTCCTAGAGACTCCAAGTAGCCTACACAACTAAATACATTTAATAGCTAAAAAAGTGGATTTTGCATATGTCCCGTTTAAAAGGTTGTGTAATAACAGAAATGAAATCCAAACAAGTTCAGTTTGGCAACATTTATAAAAACCAACATTTTCAGTTTTAATAAAATGTTTTTTTCTACACAAACTCATGTTCAGCGTACTTCAAAGGCTCCATGTTTAATTTAACAAAAGCTTAAAACTAAATCCTATCATGTAGATTTTACAAAAACCCATTATTTATTCAACCAAACCCTTACAAACATGACTTTTAGCATGAGAATTTTATTTATAGTGTGCTCTACAAAATTAAAGCTTTGCAATTAGCAAAGGCTAGGTTTTTTTTAAATTATCTGTAAGGATTCTTATTTGTATTCTGCATGGCATAMAGCCGATCACATTAATCGACTGATGGGATCAATGGATACTTGAAATCAGAGGTAGAAGGAAAAGTAACGTGTAACTCCTCTCGTCAGTGATCTTAATCAGTCTGATAGGTGCTAAAAGCCACTGAAAATGTACCATGTCACACTTACATTTAATCTAACATTATGGTGTGATCTCACATTGTGTATTTATTTTGAACCTCAAGATCTGTACGGGCAAAGTGGTTTCTAAAACTGAAGGGAGCTAAAGAAAATAACTTAGTGGTTTGAAGATGTATAAATTGAGCTATTAAGAGAAAAAGTGATATTTATAGAAAGAAAGCAGATTTATTGGGTGCATGACCATACCAGTTAACTTATAACTAAAGCTATAAAAATGTAGTAGAAGTCATTACACTAGGTTAAATATTAATTCTTTTCCCTGTTTTGCTCTGTTTGTAAACAGCAGCAGTAAAGGTACTAAAGGTGATTAAAAGCCTCCCCTTTATGTGAACTAATCTTGTTTCTTTGCAACAGTAAATAAAAGGCTTTGTTACAATAATTGGCTGGCGTCTCACAAGTGATTGACTTGTTTTGGGTGATGTTGAAATTAAACCCTCCTGGGTGCCTATGGATATTGCACTTTTGAAACATTTTACGAGGTTCACACAGCAATTATGATTCGTACAACAAATAAGAGTCCCGCTTGTTCCTGGAAACGGCACAATTTCCTTTGCTCAAAGAAAAATGACAGGTTGTTAACAGCTGTTCCTAGATATTTTTCTCACCATTTGGTTTTCTCCAAGTCTTAAAACAAACTTTGACATTTACCTCAATTTGAGCTTTGCACTGTACGTGATGTTAGTTTGAAATCAGACACTTGAAAGTTTTAATATGACATTTGCTTTGGATTAAATGTACTTAAGTCAACTCACTCAACATATTTTCTTTATATTTAGAATAACTGACATTCTGTCTAGCAGCACGTATTCCAAACTCCAAACATTTTTATGGTAGTATTTTTTTATTTCTTTAATTTTACATGGGAAAATTTAACTGAATGTTCTTCTATTCTTTATTTCAGTCTGCCAGAAAAAAATWGCAAAAAGACAGTGTGTAAACAAGGAAGTTATTTGTCTTACTGGCAAGATAACATGAATTATTATTTTAAATAGACTGAATCAGTAAGGCTAACATCTACATGCTAAGACGTATCAAAAGCCCAACCACGTAACAGCAATTGTGACATTACAAAATGTATTCCAGTAGGTATTTATTGATAAAAATTACAATGGAGTTCTGTCTTAACGCAGTGGTAACATAAAGTAAAACATAAATGCTATTGTTGTGCACAGACGAAACACTCAAAAAGTGTTAAGGAGACATGGCAATAACAATTTATTTTAAAAGAAATACACCCTTCACCAAAAACACTTATCTCCTTTTATCAAGAAAAACAAAACAAAAAAACTAATTGGGTATAATAATTTTTTTTTATATTACTTTTTGGTCGTCTTGCGGATCAGTGCCATTCTCTGTAACAATAAAATAAAAGCAAACAATCAGGCCAGATGTCCAAATTCAAAAATAAGAGCTACCTGCATGTATAATCCATGAACAGAGTGTAAAAAACACAGATTTTTTTGTTTTACCTGTTTATGAGCCTCTGTGGTGCAAGCTTTCTTGAACGGTCTGATTTCATCTGACCCATAACCAGGTATCCACATGTTCCACTGGCGCTCTGACAAAATCAGGGCAAAATACTATCAGGAAATAGGTTACAACTTTTTGTGTCACTGGTATCATAAACAAGGGCATAGTAACAATATTTTTATGCTACATTTATTCATTTTTTAAGTACTCTTAGAAAAATGTTTTTTGGGGAAGGTGGGGTTGTGCACTATAGAACCCCGTGGTGTGGCCTAAATTAAAAAAGATATTGTTCCATTTCTTCTTGTACAATCTCCAGAGATAGACGACCTAAAATTGTGAACGGATTAGTTGTTGCATTTTTCTGACAAGTCGTCAATATCTTACCGAGATGTAGCTGAACATCTTTAACCTCCAATGTGTTGGATTTGCGATGGCGTGCTAGCTGACAGGCCGTCGTCACGACACTTTCTATAAAGTCATCTGCAATTTGAAGAAGCATCTGAGGACAGACAGAAAATTTCCAATTAAAGTTAAATTCAATTTCGATTAAAAGTCAAGCTTTCACAAACAATGATGGAAAATGCTCACTTTAACGCCACAATAGATATCTCCAAATTCAAAACACTAGCTTTGTATGCTGCTGTTGTTCAGTATATTTAGTATATAAATTCCAAAGTTTGTTCCTTTATATGAGTACAACACTGAAAACGTAAGTTTAAAACATACCTCTTCAACATCCTCATCCAGTTGCTCATTTGGATCAATCTCTCTAACCAGGTCCTGCAGCTTCTTCTTACTRAGCACCTGCGAGGAAAAAAACAAACAAACAAAAAAAAAACATTTACAAATTGTTCTATAAACAAATCTTGACTCCATAAAGAACATAGAGTTTCAAGTTATACCTTATAAACAAGTGAAGAGACAGGCAACAAATAATGAAACAAAGAAAATATAAAAAAAACTAACTTGAGATCCCTCTGGGCTGCTTCGGCCTGCGGGCCCCGTAGGCAAACCCTTCACTATTATTGGGGTGCTGTTAGCCATCCTGGTGGCCACAAACAAAGAAGAGGTATGCTGTGGTTTCAGTGGGTAAACTGAGGTAGTTCGTGTGTGACAGCAACAGTCCTGGATGATGGTCCAAACTGGGCACGGATGCAGTGGATTCCCTTACAAGGAGTACGGCCAAACCTGAGGCAAAGAATCAGAAACAGAACAACAATCTGAGAAAAGGATTTAATTCCAGTGGTTTCCTAAGTAGCTCTTCTCAGATCTCTACTTTGGCCTAAATAGACTTTAATTGTAAATAAAATAAAATATACTACATTATATATTAGCAGACAAATAAGAACAAACAAGTAACTTTAGCTGCACTGAATGTTATTTAATGTAAAGTCACTGACGGTGGCAATGACTACTGTCAAACKCTTTAGCCTCTGACAAATCGTGTGATCAATGAAATAATGCCGAACTCATTATTTTCTATAAAACAAACGACGGATAGCAGGTGGTCGTCTCAGCATGTCTGGCGTAAATAATGAACACCTAACACACCGACAGTAGCTAAATCTGTACGTGCTAAAAACAAAAGCAGCTTTTCGTTTCTGACGTTAGCCTCGAAGGCTAACGTTAGCTGCTAATCTTGTGACACGGCTCTGTATGCACGCTGCGCGTCAAAACGGCATTCATTTGCAAACTTACCTCGTTAAATAAACACTATCTGTCCATGTTCAATAGTTGAYCCAGCGACAATGCGAGCTAGATATAAAACTAATCATCAATTTGCCTCTGCACGGCAAAAAAACAACTCAGTGACAATGTTGCTCAGTATTTCCGCTTGGCTCGGGTTTATTTCCTGTGACCGCATCAACTCTGCTCTGCCCCCTACTGGCCATATGTAGAACTACATCAACATTGGGAACTATTCGGAAAGCTTCCAAAGGAGACAGTATATATACAGTATATACTGTA